TTTATAAAAACATAAAAATTACTCAACTATCTCATAGTTTGTTAGTTTAATGATAACTATTCCAGAAAAGACTTTAGAAAAATTTGGTCAATGAATTTGCTGCTTACTTTGCTATGTTCTGGTCATGGAGTGATGCAAAGTTAGAAAATGTGAATAGGTTACTCTATTGATATTTTCCAGGTGTCTGCTTCATGAATTATAAATCTTTTCTTCTAGATGCTAAAATGATATTTTAAAAGGCATAAAGAAACAAGTACATTTTCATACATGCATACAATTGTCTCAATTCATTCTGTAGCCTTCTTTTAGTAGTCAATTTTCTAATAATGGATAAAACTTTGAAAGCTGTGATTTCCATATTTGGCTTATGTATTTTTCCTCATTTTTATTAGAGATCTAAATAAGCATTTTGAAATAGTTTCATTTGTTGAATCTTGCTGCATGATTTCTATCCGAATTTTGTCCCTGTCATGTCTTATATTTTTTCAAAAAATAAGTAAAATTATTCCAGATGTACTATCATTTCTGTTTCAGTTGCCTTAATTCCCCCCCCAATGTCATTTCTTTGTATTGTATTTTTCTGTATTTTATCTTTTTCAAATATCTCTAAGAGTTCAGAGACTTTAAAATAATCCTTGACAATTTTCACATTACTGTAGCCAGCAAACTAAAATGCTATATGAGCAAGGTTGTGTTTTTTTCAATGTTTCCAAGTGTCAGAAATGAGCAAAAGGTAAGTCATTGAGATTATGTGACTAAAAAGCTTTCCTATAAAAGGTAACTTTTCAGAATCTCTTAGGTGAAATACTTCTTTAAATATATATTTGTGATTTGAGAAAACACTGCTATTATTTCTAGCTAGAAATGCAACACTAGCACTCATGGAACTATTAACTGAATTTTGATGTTTTAAGTTATAATAGAATGTTAAGTATGAACTATATGCAGTTTACAGCATTTACTTATATTTAAATGACAAAAAAGCAGTCTGTATTTTCTTAATATGTTAGTTGTCTTTCTTAAGACCTCCTCTCTACTGAACTGTAACTTTTCTAATATCTATTCAAAGAATATTTGATCATTTAATTTTAATGACTGACGATTTGTGTGTGTATCTCAATTAATTAAAAATTAGAGCCTACTTATTGAATAAACCTATTACTACTGTTTAAAATTTGAGTTAAAGTTTCATAATCCCTAAAGAAAAGGAAATATTCTACCACTAGGGTTTTTATTTCTACATCTAAGCCTTTATGTTTAAAAAAAATTCTATTTTTTTTCAAATTATTAGATGAATGCCTGTGTGACTTAATGACTTAAATATGTGCCTCTTTTGAGGAGATTTTAATAATTAATTTGAATCTCAATTTGTTGTGCCACATATTTTTATAGTCTTAAGGTTGAAATGGAATGTCAAATAATTAATTAGAAACAAAACAAAACAAAACATAGTAATTTCACAAGTATGTTGATTTAGTAGAATGAAAAGGGCTATTATTTATCTTATTTTTCTTTTAATAAATATTGTCTATTGATTTTTCTTAAATCACTAATGGCATCTCTTAGGCAAATTATGATAGCATCATCCATATTATTACTAAGTGAAGAAAAACTACAGAAAAATAAATGACTATAATAACATGCAGGACACTGTGAAGGGAAAAAAACTCATAGTCAAACTAAATATTAAATTATACAAAGGGAATTTTCACAATACATGATGTAAGGTCGGTACATAATTGCAAGCTAAGTTGTCCCATGTCTGTTTTACAGCTGCACTCCAATTCTGACAAAGGTGATGGGTCTGTCAAGTATATCCTTACTGGAGAAGGTGCTGGGACTATATTTATCATTGATGATACCACAGGTGACATCCACTCAACAAAAAGTCTAGACAGAGAGCAGAAGACCCACTATGTGCTTCATGCCCAGGCTATTGACAGACGGACAAACAAACCTCTTGAACCTGAATCTGAGTTTATCATCAAAGTGCAAGACATCAATGATAATGCTCCAAAATTCACAGATGGACCATACATCGTTACTGTTCCTGAAATGTCAGATATGGGTAAGAAAAATAATTTTTATAGTTGACCAATCAATATGTTTTTGAAAATGCAAAAGTCATCTTTTGAAGACCAATTTTTATGTGTGTGTGTGCATGTATAGAGAATTCTAGAGAAATTTCAAAATATCTTAATATTTTTATGGCATATGCTGTTAAAGAATATTTGGTCTATTATGTGTATTAAAATTAATTTCTGAACATATAAGTATAGGTAACAGTTTGATCTCAAGAGAAAACAATTATAAATTGGAAAACACCTATAGTTCTTGCTTCACTGATGTGGTTCTCTGAGCACATATTCTTCACATATATTGCTAAGAACATACTAACACGTTGCTTGTGACAATTTACACAGACGAAAGATAATAGCCTGTCTGAAATTGTTTGTTATCTTTTAATCTTGCAGTTTATGAACAAATAATAATAGTATTAATAGAAATAATTGCTACATTAATCAATACAACTTTTCAGATATTCATATGCATTTACATACCTTATTTATTTCAAATTATACAAAATCTCTGTGAAATGTTTTGAATATCATTTTAAAGATGTGCAAGCTAGCATAGAGCACATAAGTCACTTTTCCACATTCACGTATCTAGAAAATGGCCAAGGACAAATTATTCCAGATTTGCCTGAAAACAAATCCTACAAGGCAGTCAATGCATCACGACCCAGGTCTTGAATTTCTCTAGTGATCTAGGACTTTTCCTTCACTCACAGGTTTCTGTGGTATAGGTTTTTAATTTTATTTTTATTTCATATTATGATTTTAAAAATATAATTAAAGTTCAGTTGTGATAATACTTTTTTGATTGTCTTTGTGAGTCTCTAAGCTTTGTAACACATTTTTGAGTACAGATTTTATATATTTAATTTTACTGTATATATATGAGTTATTTTAAATTAAGGTTATTATAGTCACCAATCAAGTCACTCTGTAATTTGAATATATACATCAGGTTTTTAAATGAAAGATAGTAGCATCTTTCCTTCCCACTCCAAAACTCTAGCTCATTTTTGTTGTCTCGAGCTAGGCAGATAGCTCCTGAGAGCTGTTGTAGGAGCAGGTACAAAAGAGGGACTATGATCTCCTTCATAGCCACAATCTCAAGGGAGAAAGCAGTTGCCAAACTGGTTCCCTCTGGACTGTAGTAGAACATAGAGCAGTTTCAGAGACCTTGCGGAAAGGCCCAGAATACTCTCAGGCTTATTGGTCTCCAAGGAGAGTTGAGAGGGAATTAAAGGGTTCAGCACTGTTAACCCTGTTGGGTGAGAGTTTGCATGGAAATCCAAGAACAGAATGTCTCATGTCACATGTGAAGCGGTTGACAATCCACACTGCCTTACAAAGGCAAAGAGTTCTTTGGCTCCATCACTTGTGGGAATGCAACTGGTAAACTTACTTCCAGGAGCTGCATAAGAGCCCCAGTGAGCACAAAAGAAACAAACATAACCATAGAGAGCAAAGCGCCAGAGAGAATAAAACAGGCAGAGCAGTCTTTACCGAAAGACACAGTGTTTTGAACAGTATAGATCATAAGAATGCTAGAAGCTCTTTGAGGACATCACAAAGAGATTTCTGTAACTTGAAGCCATTTTTTAAACAAATAAGTAAATAATAAAAAATCAATATATGGATTGAAGGCATGAATGGTTGCTGATTAGACCCAAATTACTGTCCTAGGACTTGAGAACAAACCAGACTGAAAGAAACAGCTAATAATTGCAAAGCAAAAATATAATATTATGGACTTGTGTGAAAAAAATAGACTTAGAATACATATTCATTAGATTTATCATGTGAATAACATGTTTTCACAGAGAACAACAACGACAAAAAGAACAAATGGAGGAGAGGAACAATAATACTTTTTTTTTCTTTGAGGTAAAGAATATACTGGATTTACAAATTTAATAGATTTTCTGAGTTCCAGGAAGGGTTAATAGAATAAGAATAAAACATAGGTAAATCCTGGTAAAGTTCCTAAAGCCTAAGGACAGAGAGAAAATTTTACAAACTTTCAGATTTTTAGAAATTACCTACTAGGAAAAATATATATTCCCCTCCATATTTACTACTTCAAATACTGGAATCTAGCCAAGAGCTCAATCCCATTTACAGCCTACTGAGAAAAAGCCGAAACTTCAAATTTTTTGTTCAGTCAAAATTATCTGCTAGGATGAAGTAAATATTTGGAGAATGATCCAGAAAGTGTATTATCCTCCTGCCTAATCTAGGAAAATATTTTAGAAAATAGTTGAAATTGAAAATAGTTGAAATGAATCAGAACAGTGTTCTAAAAGCCAAGGAAAATGACAAGGAGAGGATAAAAGCTATCAGTGAACTCTGAAATAAACGTGTGTGTGTGTGTGTGTATGTACACGCGCGTGTGTGTATGTATAAACAAAGAGTTAACTGTGAATGATTAATTTTTATAATGCAAAAGTATCCTATACAGTCTAAGTAAGAATCATGAAGCATAAAGGAATTATTAATTACAGCAAAGGCTATGGGGTTGAGGACTTGGGAACAAGTCAAACGTTTTAAAATCCTCATCTAGGGCTTGGGGTGGAAGATGGGAATGGGGGAAAGCTAATATTCTTAAGTTCTGTTACTGAGATGAGTACCGTTGAGGGATAAAAAAAAATATCAAAAAATATTAGGGCTTTTTCCAGAATCCAGAATACGTTTTAAGTCTCTTTACTACTCTGGTTTCAGGCAAGAGTCTAATGAAAGAGTAATTTCACAGCAAGCCCTAGGCTGAATATTGGAAATTATATTTTATTAGTGTGTGTATATATTTGTATAAATTAATTATTATAGAAAAACAAATATATAAAAATTATCATAGTAGAATATAATGTACATTGTAAAATGAATGGATAGTGAAGATGATATGAGAGTTAGTGTAGGGAGAAACTCACTTTACGTTGTGTGCTTAAGAATGGGTGATAACTCTGATTCACATACACTCTGATTTTAAAAATAAAAAGCTAGTGATATTGTAGAGCAAAGATCAGCAAATAATGGAAAAGGAGTTAAATCTAGCCTGCTATCTGTTTTTGTAAATAATGTTTTACTGGAACACAGCCACACTCATTCATTTGAAGATTATCTACAGTAGTTTTGGTACTGCAGTGGCACAGTTGGATGGTTGGGATGAAGGCCATATGGCTGGCTCACAAAGCCTAAAATATTTACTACATTGCCTTTTGCAGAAAAAGTTTGCCAATACCCATTGTAAGAGATTTTAGGGGATAAAACCAGAGTCAAGGGAACAATTAGAGGATAGTGTTATATTCCTGATAGACAAAGTGTCTGCTCGTCTATGGCAGCTAGTGTTTTGTATGCTGTCTGGACTGCATACATATACACATAAATATGGAATTGTTACAAATACATAGGATAATTTTTCTTCCCTTAGGGTAGACACTGTTAGTTTTCTAACCACAATCCAGCCTTCCCTTATGTGTTACTGAGAGAACTCAGTTTTGTTGGAGAATACAGATTTGTTGCAGCATATGCATGCACATGCACGGGAAATATCTGAAGGAAACATACATACACACACACTGTTGAAGGTGTTACTTCTAAAAAATGTGTGTGACTTATCTGGTATGAAAGAAATGAATTATTCCCTATTAAATATATATTTATATAAATATATGTTTATAAATGATAAAAACTGAAATCTAAATTTGTGATAAAAATTTTTTGTAACACTAAAACTTAATTTAAAGATATACTTAATAAAAGCTAATAATAACATAGGTATGAAACAAAATTTTTCTTACCATATAGTGGCTAATATCATTGTTTTTACCAGGTACTCATTAATTGAGTTTTGAATCATCCAGTCATTTAAAAAAATCTCTCTCTTTATATCTATCCAGTTCTTTCTGGAGAGAAAGAAAGAGTGAAGGCATTTTATGTGCTGAGAGCTGTGATAGTGGCAAGTAATAAAATGGTAAATAAAACAAGGTCACTATCTTTGAGCAGACTGCAGGCATATAAACAGAAAACTTCAGTATGGTATCTGATAAGCACAAAAATAGAGGAACTGTAGAGTAGGACAAGGAGCCCAGCTTGTGGATTAGAGGACATCCTTGATGAATCTTAGATAACGAATTAGGGTTTGTCAATTAGAAAAGGGGAAAAAATGGGCATTCCACAAAGAGGATGCACTGATGAAAACGATTCCTTTCCTCCCTGCGAGTTTATAGTTCAGTTAGGAGTGTGTGTTTGTGTGCGTGCACCTGTGTGCGTTGGGGAAATGAACAGACACATCATGCAAAAGATAGATTCCTTATATAGCTTTGCAAAATATGATATGAACGTACAGAGAAGGCAGCACCAGAGACTTCCTGGGTGTGCAAGATTTTATCAAATTATACTTTCTTATGTCTTAGCAGTGCGAAGTAATGGTCATGGAACAACTCCAAGTAATTGCAGTGTGCAATATCGCCAGTGAGAAAAGCATGATGTGATTGTATGTTTCTTGTCTATGGGCAATAATCATCAGAAAAATTCTATGGCATCCTGGATGGTTTAATAAAGAGAGATACAAAAATAAACTTGTTTTTGAAGCATGTTTAGTATTAATATAAGGTTTTTCTTTATCTTTTTGATTTATACAATGTAATTTAAGCTATTATCTAGGGAATTATATTATCCCTAGGAAAGAGTTTTTAAATCTTTCCACTATTGACATTCTGGGCTGGATAATTCTTTGTAGTGAGGAGCTTCCCTGTGCATTGCAGGGTGGTTAGCTGTATCCCTGGCCTCTACCCAGTGGGTGCCAATTGTATCTCTCCCACAACCAGCAAATTGTGATGTCCCCAGACATTGCCAAATGCCCTCTGTGGGGCAAAATTACTCTCAGTTTAGAACTACTACCTTAGGAAACAGGCAGGATAAAGAAATGATAAAATTTCAAAGTAGAAACACAAATTGAGAAATATATTTGTTAAATTTATATTCACTTCCAAAGAGA